AATCTGTCTTCTCTCTTCATTTTTATTTGAGAAAGAGGTCATCCATCCAGTTTTTTACTCATCAGATGGCTGCCATGGCCAGAGCTGATCCAGTCCAAAGCTGAGAGTCAGGAGATTTTTCCCGGCCTCCCAAGTGGGTACTGGGTCCTAAGACCCTGGGCCATCGGTTGTTGCCTTCCCAGGCCATAAACAGAGAGCTGGATCAGAAGTGGAGCAGCTGGAACATGAACTGGACCCATAAAGGAAGCCAGTGCTTCCTTTATAGAGGACTAACATGCAGCGCCACTGCACTGCTTCCCCTCCCCCCCTCCCCCCCACCCTATGCTCTTGTAAGTTCACATGACCATATAAAAACTATTCTTACTCTAGGATGAGTTTTCTCAGCCTGGAGTTTAGCTTAGAGTGAATCCAATTTGTCCACCAAACTCTCAACATAGTGTGTGCCAGGAATTAAAACCGAGACAGGAATATTAATTTCTTCCTCACATGCTTCTGCCATCACTCTCATTTTAAAGAGGCTAATACATTGTAGCCCGTTTGGAACTCAGGTCAAACAGATTGAAGGGAAATTTTACAAAGATTGTTTCAAATTAGTTAATAGGAAGAAATTTTCAATGACATAGTGGACCTATAACACTGAAATGGAAATCTAGAACCCAATTCCAAAAGCAATTCCCTTTGAATGTCAGGGTCCTTAATCTATAAAAGGTGAAAAAAAGCATTGGTTTGCAAGGTTCTTGTGTTTAAATGAGATGATGTATATTAATCATTTTGCATATGCTCCAATGTTCTCTTCTTTTTTAATGTTCAGATTACATTTTGCGTTGGTGAATTGTGACGGGCACTTAACTCTTATATGTTCATATATTTACATCTAATTGTTATCTATGTTATTGACCTTTAGGTATAACATAAAATACATACTTTACTAAAGTGGTCATGTGGTGGACATTTGGCCTTAGCCACTAAACCGCAACCTTTGATGCCTGTGTCAACCTCAGAGAACCAGGGTTGGAGTCCTGACTCTACCCCCATCCCAGTTTCCTGCTAACATAGCTGGCTGCCAACCATGAGTGATTTGGATTGTCTTTGCTGATTCCAGCTCTGGGCACAGCCAGTGATGGCCATGCACACACTGGGGAGTGAACCAAGGGAAGGCAGTTCCATATGGCAATTTTCTTTTTGTCTGCTTCTAAATGAGTAAATATGATTTCTTTTTTTTAAAGTAGTGATATTATGACTGACATTTAATTTTCTGAAACACAATAAGTCACTATTTTTGAGGAAACAGAGTCCAAGGCAGGTGGTAACCAGCACAAGTCAAAAACCAGCAGATCATGGCCCATCCAAGACCTGCAATTATGTCCAGATCTAGTTCCTTGGTTCTATCAGCTGAACTTGCTTTTATTTTTGTTCCATTAATTAGCTAAGACAAAATAGTAACAAAAGGGGAGGGGCCAGCCAGGACTGAAACAGCTGTGGCATAACATTCTTATTTTGCTATAAACACGCAGGACTTCTAGGCCAGATTTATTTAGAAGCATTAAGGGTAATTTTCAAGGGGTTCACATCAATATGAATCTGTCTGCTTACAAGCAGTAGAGTTACATGTATCATTTTATTATGTACTTAGTCTTATTGTCTCCAATCGTTAGAGTTGGAGTAGCTAACAGATTATTTTATCTTTTGTGTTTTATCAAACATATTTGTTAGAAATGTGGTCTTCTTTATAAACAGATGTTGTAAGATTTTATAAAATCATACTCAGAGCTCAGTGCTACTCTGTAAATGTCAAGTGCATTTACCATCTTCAAAGGCTAATATTTTCATAGAAAAACAATCTAAGCTATGGTTGGAGTAAAGTAATGGCAAAATACAATTATTCACTAGGGAAAGAGCAAAACTACACCAGGATAGACAACAAAGATATTTGCAGGAGTGTTCTTTCCAAGCATTTTGAGATATCAATGCTATTTTTCTGACAATTGACAAAATAGCTTCATCCTTGAAGAAAATGTCCTCAAGGATTTTTCTATCACTTTATGTATCTCTATAGATATTTGAAATGTCTTTAAGAATAATATGCTTATTTGGGGGAATTGTGCTTTTAAAAAATATTGTTTTTTTTTTTTCATTTATTGAAAAGCAGAGACCCAGAGATAGCTACAGAAAGTGAGCGAGATTTCCACTGGTTGTTTCACTCCCTAAAAATCTAACAGCCAAGACGCCATCAGACTGAAGTCAGGAGCCGGCAGTCTGATCCAGGTTCCCACCAGGCTGGTGGTTAACTACTTGTACCATCACCTGGTGTCCTCCAAGGCCCACATTGGTAGGAATATGCAGTAGCAGTAGAGCTGGTATAGAATCCAGACACTCTGCCAACAGATGTGGGCATCCCATTCAGGAGCTTAACTGAACTAAACACTCTACTTGGAAACAAGGTTTGTGTTTTTTGTTTTTTGTTTTTCCATTGTGGATAAACTGAGTACCCTCGAGATGTATCATACTATATAAGTAAATTGTGCAGAGCTTCTCTGACAGCTGAGAACACTGGGACTGGTGCTTCAAGCATTCTGAGCAGCAAATCTTCGTATCCCTCCATCACATGATAGTGAGTGTGAAGGTCTCTGAAAAGTGGTACTGATTGGCAGTGAGGAGAGTACCATTTTCTCCAAATCCCATCACAGCTTCATCATTTTATATTAGTTTTCCAGATTAGTAAAGAGACCATGACAATGCCTGCTTGTAATATGTATATATATATAAATGACACCTGGCGAACCATTAATGACATTCTCAATTTTTGCTGATGTCCGTTTTAGAGGATATAGCTAGCACATGAACCAATTGATGACCTCTGCCATCTATCGCCATTTTCATTGGCCACCTCACTTTGACACACTGGTTCTATCCAGGGTTCCTCACAGTCATCAAGACCCTCCCAACTTTCAACCCTTGGATTCAGAGCTCCCTTTGCTCGCAGTATGTTTTTTTGTTTTTGTTTTTGTTTTTCAGTTTGAGGGATTTATTTTTTTTTTATTGTTGTTTACATTGTATTATGTGGTACAGTTTTATAGGCACTGGGGATTCCCCCCACCCCTCCCATACCCTGCCCCCCAGCTCACAGTATGTTAATAGCCTCAATCTCCGACTCTTCTGTGAATTGTGCATTCTTCCATAAAGGAACACTCTAAAATACCTTACCAATTTTTCTAAGTATTCATTTGTCATTTCTGGTAAGATGACAATCAATACAAGAACAGTGATTGCCTATTCACATTGCATATCACTATTCATGGTGCTTGGACCTAATAATTCAGTAACCATTGCTGAATAACGGCTCATGCTTTTGAATGTGAACTTCTAAGGCATTGATAACATTTATATTCATTACGTTGCCTCAATCATGGCAGTTGTATGTGGAGGCCAATTTAATATGTGTTTCATTTTCTAATTTAGGAGTAAGAATCTTCAAAAGAAGAAACTGAAGGATACTTCTAAAGAAACTCAGAATTTGATGAATGAGTTTCTTTACTGAGTTTGATCTAGAGGTTGTTTTGTGTGTGTTTAGTATTTATGGGCTCTGATATTTAATATCTACGGATACATTGACTGGTACCAGGAGGAGGATTCCTGGTTCCCCTCTTCAGATACACCTGGGAACATCAATGAAACAAATACAGATGGCTGATCTTCATCTACTTTTATGGGTTATTCAGAAATCTTTACGTGTGGGTGCTTCAATATCTGGTTATTCATTGATATCAGTTAGAAGGCTTACTGTCACTAAAAATTACGTGTTTAACTTTTTCTGTTTATCTTGCTGACCACTGAAATGTTGTTTATAGAATTCTGATACATAAAATGAAACAGATTACTTTAGCTGATTACTTTATTATTTGACAGCTTCAGTGTATCTTTTCGAAAACTTGAATTCAGTGGGATAAATGCATAAAATATTCAAATAATATATAGTCTTCAATACACAATATTATGTGGTTCAAACTAGAACTATCGTTTGGAAAAAGATGTAATGCTAGAAAAGACAGATTCAAGTAACTCATCTAGATATATTGTGGGACAGTGCTATGGATGAGACCTTTTATTAAGAGTCCAGGAAGGAATTTATATTATCACCTCCTGCAAATATTTAAGCAAAGCTATTATTTTGAATGATGTCTTTCAGTTGTTTAGACAGCATCAGGAGCTAGTTTCCTACCGACTGACATTTACACATCTTTGTTTCATTCTCATTTTAAAGGGAAGACAAACTGGGGAATGTTTCCCAAAGGAGAGTAATGCTTTTGTAAAAATCCATTCTGTAAAAATGATTTCCATGATTCCTCTGAACTCATGGCGAAGAATATATCTGGGGACAAGGGTGCAAAACCTCCACCATGTTCCACTGTTTGCAGTTACCTTGGATCTTAACTAGCTGTGCAAGTTGACTTCTGACCATGGGGAGTCCTCTCCGAGCATGGACTATGGATTCTTGAGGCCATGGCAGATAGCCAGTCCCACAGAAGCACCCTCATGATCTTCTGCGGAAGATCCACAGCACTGGGGGACAAGGAATACATGGGAGTGATGCCACAAGGGTGTCCGACGGGGTTAGCAAAGCACAACCCGCAAAAATACACTTTGAACGTAGTGAATCCAAGGAAAAATATTTTAGAAAAATAGCTTGCAAATGGCTTCACTTCACCTTAAGAGCACTATTAAGAGAGTTAATAGCTGGGATATATGCTTCTGAAACATGCAACAGTCAAAGCATTGGATTCCAAACTCCTCAGACAAGTGATGCAAACTTGTTACCAAAAAAAAAAAAAAAAACTTTTCAACATAGCCAGAGTTTAAAAAAAAAAAGCCAAAGGGAAAATCTCAAATGAACATATTAAAACTGATGTAATAAAATACCTGGCTTTTAATTATTTCCAGTAAAATTATATCTGAAAGCTCTCCAACTCCTACCCATAGTCATACACAAACACGTCAATATTTAAACTTTTTTTTTTAATGGCCAAAGCAGGGGTTTACATATGTATTTTTTTTTTTCACAGTGCTCACTTTTTCATCAATTTTTAGTAAGTTGTTATTCTACTTTAGCCTCGAATTGGTTCCATCCCGTTCCTCAACCCCTTTGCTGATGTCTAGCAGTTAATGTCCGGTACCATGAACAGAGCTTCCTGTGGCAACTGGGGATATAGCTGCTCCGGGCTGAAATAACTATAGTTTATCAAGTTCTCGTTCTCTTCTTCAGCCCCAACTAGGATTGATAAAGGCATTTCTAGAGACAAGGGAGTTTCTTCCTCTCTAGGCACAACCTCCGGCCACCCTAGCCCCACCTTTTCGGCATCCTCCTCCCCCTCTTCCTTCGTCTCCTCCACATAATCAGCCTCTTGGACCACCTGCTCCTCTTCATCCTCCTCCACCTCCTGCCTCTCCTGGTCCTCTTCATCCTCTGCCTCTTCCTCCACTTCATCTTCCTCCTCCTCCTCCTCGCTCTCCTCTTTTACATCATACACCACCTTGTCATACTCCTCTTCATTTTTCTCTTTCGCTTCCTCCACCTGCTGCGGGATTAGAGATTGGTTTTCCTCCGCGGGGGCGGGACTGAGAAGCAGAGGATCACGCGCAAAGCCCCACAGGTTTTGCGAGTCTTCCTCACTGCCGCTGAAGGACATTAGGTTTTCAGAGGCGCCCTCCAGGGTGGCCTGGCCTTCGGCTTGGGCCTGCTGCTGGCGCTCCAGCTGCTCTTGCTGCCGCATGTCTTCGTAGATCTGGTTCATGATGAACTGGGTCGTGTTGGGTGGCGCTTGCATGCCGGGTACACGCCAACGGCGCGGGCGCAGATTTGCAGGGCGAAGCAGCTTGTTGTCAGTGGGCCGGTTCCGTTGGAAGGAGCGGCCAGATTGGCGGCGCAGCCCGTGGCTCCTGCGGCCCCAGCGTTTCTTCCTGCCAGGGGGTCCCATCCACTCCGGATTCCAGGGCCCGAACCAGCAGGCACAGCAGCAGAGGCAGAGTGGGGGCAGTGTGCACACCCGAATCATTTGCACCTGTCTCCGGGGCTTGGGAACTGCGGCCAGATGGGGATGCCAGGGACCTCCCCAGGGCCCCCAGTGGCAGTCCATGGCCCAAGAGGGCATTCGGGGCGGTTGGAACCAAGAGCCCCGACCATAATGGTTTTTGGGCTGTCTCCTAGGGGGTTCATGCTTGTCCTTGGGACCATAGCGCTGTCGCCGTTTGTGCACAGGGTCACCTCTGCGCCTTCGAGGGCAGGGTACAGAGGCAGAAGAGGCCCAACCGTAGCTGTCGCCCAGGTTAGGAGGGTCCTCCATGTTGTCGAGGGCCTGGGTCCTAGATCAGCAAACAGGTGGTGTCCTGAAGTTAAGCCAGATGAGACAGTCCGGAGAACCTCCTTGGTCTGCGTTGGCGGCACGGCACCAGGTACCTGCTTTGGGGAGCCTCGCCTTCTCTGCAGGACTTTCCCTCTCTCTCTCTGCCCTGTCCTCTGTGAGCTCGCTTTTCCGCAGTGATCTCTCTTGTCGTTCGCACCGCAGTTGTCTTGCCCAGGTCGATTGGGTGGGGTCTAAGGCTGGGTCACTTTTGTGGGGGTAGGGAGGGAAGGAAGATATTGGTTGGCGACACGCAAACAGACCCCGCTCCCGGGTCCCACAGACACCCGCCTCAGCAGAGGACCGGGGTGGGGACGGGGGAGGCAGGAGTTGCGCTACCTTGTGGCTCCCTCTCAACCCAGGTGCTTCCCCGTAGCCGTCCTGGCCGGACTGAGGCAGCACTGGCAGCTGCGGCCTTTAAATACCGGCCGACGGGCTCACGTGCCCGCCGCGTCCTTGGTTGCCCAGGGGATGGCCAATCAGCATTGAGATCGTTCTCCCTGGGCGTGGAGGCCTGTTCCGGCCAGAACGAGGTCTCACGTGAGGGTTCGCTGGGGGCTTGTGACGAAGGTTTTGAGGGGTTGAAGCAGAGGGGCCCAGGTGGGGTTTGTCAAGTGTTTGAGGCAGTTGCTCAGAACCTTCTTTGGCGAGCTGGGCTTTAGGTGTTGCTGACTTGTGCAAAAGGATTTGTATACCCTAAAGGCTGTATTCTGCCTCTTTGGAAGGCCCAGTAGGTTAAGGAAAATCTGCCATGGCCAGAAAACTGGACCCTATCACTTATTCTAGGGCCAGTGTCCACAACGATGAGCCCTGGGAGTCCGGCTTCCTCGTGCATGAAGCCACCACTGGCGCTGATGACGTGTACTTACTAACGCACTGTGAGGCTCACAGCACCCACTGCCTGGCTCTGTAGGCTGTTACCATCTTCCTCCCAATAGCTAAGTGAGGAGTTAGCTTTCCAAGGTGGTGGGATCGATGCCTTTGAGGGACAGTACTACCAACTCACTTCTAATAGTGTTCATGGGTCAAGCAAATGATACACATATGGGAAAGTCTGCTTTGCTCGTTGTAACAGACTACGCATCTTTCCGCTGTTTGACACACGTTTATTACCTGCAAGAATCCTGTGAACTTTTTTCTTTGAGAATAGTGCAATCATGTCACTAACTTTTGTCCCTTGACTCCATACAGCACATGCATCAAAAGATTGAAGTGTCATGGTTGAACACAATGGGGCTTGATTGTGGTAAATGTGATTCCATTTCAACTCAGCATCCACGCCAGGTCCTTGATCCACAGCATTAACACCGCACTTACCCCATGGAGTTGTGTTAAGGGTTAAGCAAGACATTTCACTTATTGCAAATCCCCATAAAGATTCAGTAACTGACCGTCACCATTCTAGCATTTACCTGTTTTTAAGAGGATGTGAACTCCACCAGCCCTGAACATGATGCCAAATAAGCATTGCTAACTTAATAGCCTTGTCTTACCGTATCAATGAAGGGCTACCAGGCTTAAACCTGAAAAAAAAAATCCTTGAATAGTTCCCTGTATTACTTTCCTGTGGTGAGTGGAACTGTGTGAAATGAAACACTACCCACTGGGAACCACTGTTTCTGACTAGCCTGTGTGAAAGATGGGAAAGGCAAAATGTGCAAAAGCCCTGACACTTGCAAAGATTGTTAGGCACCAGGGACAGCTGGAGTGCATGGGTCGGAACCCCAACCGTTGCCGAAGGACGTGTGGATTCCACAGGCTTCATTTAGAGTCGTTTGTTGTGTGAGCTCGCAAAGGAAGTCTACCTGACTCAGAATCCACCATGCTGTCCGTGAAAGCCTTCTGACAAGGTGTGCACCATCCCCTGCTGCTTAGCTCCAAATGGACAGGTGGTCATCCCAGCTTCGTTTCCTCTGGACGTGCATGTTTTATGTGACAGCGGCCTTCTTTTGAGAGCTTTAGGGATCGAGCTTGTTGATGCAACAGAATCCCGAGTAGATTCTTTTTGCTTAAGAAAGGATTGATTCATCTTATAGATGATAAGGAATAGCATATTGTTTTTCAAAATAAAGTTGTCTTTGTACACCTTTCCTACAGTAATAAGTATGTGTTTAATATAAAGTCTTTTTTCCAAAAGTCAATTTGGTAGTCTTAAGAGAAGCAGCAATTTTATGATTTGTGATATCAGGTTGGAATAATGTTAAAAATATTTTAGATTTGTCAACAGAACATGTTAAATCTAAAAGAAAATGAGTTAAGAAATGTTAAGACCTTTTTTGTTTGTGTGTTTGTTTAAATTTGGTGAACAAAGAAACAGAACAGCAGAGAGGATTCCCATCTGCTAGCTCAGGTTCCAAAGGGCCCATGGTTAGGGTTGAGCCAGGCCTGAAGTGGAATCTGGAACATACTCTCGGTCTCCCACGTGAGTGGCAGGGACTGAAATGCTTGAACTCCCATCTGTTGCCTGCAGGAGTGCGCATTAGAAGGAAGGGAAGAATGGGATGCAAAGGCAGAACCTCAATCCAGCCACTCTTACATGCATTGTGACAGATTAGGGCAAACAGCCACTACCAAAGACATATTTTTAAGAAACTATTCACTGTAACTTTGTTTTCTTTGAAAAGTAGAGTTACTGAGAGAGGGAAACAGAGAGAGATATCTTCTAGCTGCTGGTCCATTACCCAAATGGCCATAATCACTGGAGCTGGGTCAGGATAAAACCAGGAACCTGGAGTTTCTTCCATGTCTCTCACAGGGGACCTGCCACTTGGGCCATTCCCTACTACTTTCCCAGCACACCTGCAGGTTGTCATATCGGAATGGAGTAGCTGGGATTGAACCAGTGCCCATACAGGATGTGATGTTGCAGGTGGACGCTTTAATTTGCTGTGCCATGGAGCTGGCCCAAATACATTTTTATCAACTTATATTCTTTAAATATAACACACTGAAATAGGAAATATTCTAATTTGATATTGAAATGAAGCACATTTATTGGGTTGCACTACCTTTTATTAGTCTTCTGTGGCTGCATAGCATATTAAATAACTTGGTTTTGGTTTTGGTTTTCTGCTGAGGACTCTGTTTAGGAAAATTTATTCCCAGCATCATTACACTATTAATGGGATTTATTTGTGTGTGTTGTGGGAGGGGGTGCTGTATGAGAGAGTCCTGGCTTTTTGCTGTCTGTTGCCTGGAGGCAACTTCAGCACTAAGAGTACATTCCCAAAACCTAGGAACCTAGGGAAAAGGTCCTTTCCGTGGACTTTTCTCAGCATGCTTGTTTCGTTAAGTGGCAAAGAGAACAACCTCTAGTAAGTACATCCTTCTGTACAAGCACAGCCTATAAAAACATACACATGGATATAGCCGCACACACATAATTGTAGATTGGACCTACGTGCCCCCTGTAAACTCCACCATGTGCGAACAGCAGCTTCTACCAGCGTGCAAGGCAGAGGTGGGAGAAAACACGAACGTTTGAATAAGTGGAGCTGCAAAATCACCAGAGGTCAACAAGAAAGTTTGTTCACCACATATGTGAGATACATTCACCAGAAGTGAGATTTTCAATGGTCACTGGTTACAACATTATTTGGAAGACTTCAGTGACGTGTTGGCATTTTGAAATCTCAACGAATATCCTATGAATGTGTTGATTACATCAAGTGGTGCAGGGCATTGTGTTCTTAAGTTGGAAATGTATTATCTGCATTTGTGTGATGTGAAAGGAGCACAGTCTAACACTGGATGGCAGTAGTAGCTCGTTCAAAATTCAATCAGCTAAAGTCCTGTTACAAAAGAAACCATGAGAAGTGAACACCCGAATTTTATTTCTTCTTTCATGAATTCTGTTTTAAAAAATATTATGTTCCCAATACTGAATAGCTTTTATTTGGATGCAGTGTAATTTGATCTTTTTATTAGACTTATAGCATTTTTTCAGTTGGCTTTCCAAAAAAGCAAATGTTAGGTAATTGAACCTGTAAATAAAAATTTTTCAAAGCAAAGTTGGATGTGCTTGAAATATTGAGTCAGAAAAGTGAAATTGAACAAATATTTTTAGAGCCATCCATATAATTGATGCAGTATTCCGGGATAGAAAACTAGTAGCAGAGCTTGTATTAAACCCTGCTGAAAACTTGCCTTTTTCCAGATATGGAATTTAAAAGTAAATGGTCATCATCATTTTGTGAATCATGAAAGCAAAGACAAAGTAAGTAATCCAGGCATGGTAGCTTAGTGGCTAAAGTCCTCGCCTTGAATATGCCTGGATCCCATACAGACACCGGTTCTCATCCTGGCAGCTCCGCTTCCCATCCAGCTCCCTGTTTGGTGGCCTGGAAAAGCAGTCGAGGATGGTCCAAAGCCTTGGGACCTTGTACCTGTGCGGGAGACCCAGAAGAGACTCCTGACTCCTGGCTTTGGACTGGCACAGCTCCAACTGTTGCGGCTGCGTGGGGAGTGAGTCAATGGACGACAGATCTTCCTCTCTGTCTCTCCTCCTCTCTGTATATCTGACTTTCTAATTAAAAAAAAAAAAAGTAAGTCATCCTTGCTTTTCAAAGATAAGATCAAGACATTGAAATCATTCTGCTTTCTTGCTACATGTTGGCAAGTTTTAGGCTTAGTTTATGAATTTGTGAAAAGGCTTGTACATCAGATACCATTGTGGTATTTGTTCACTTCTGAATCTTCAAATTATTTTAAGAGCACTGTGTAAGAACAGTAACTTTGCGATAACTATGCGATTTCTTCAGATGGGAAAAGAAGTAACAATATTACACTCAGAATAGTATGTGGAGATATTATTTGCCATCATTTTTCAAAAATACTCTTGATTCATAGGAACTTCACATTTTCAGAAAATCAGCGTATTGGACTCGTAAGTCTGAAAAACATGTGTGCTCAGTTATGCTTAAGCAGGAGTCTTTGGCCTGGAGGTTTGCCTACAAACATTTTTAAAGTACAGTATGTTCTAGTGCAGTAGAAAGCAGTGCTGCTCTTGTTGTTGTTGTTGTTGGCAACTTGTAGTATTTAGAGAAAATGAATGTGTAGCCATTGAATAAGGATAAAATATTTTTTACAATTTCATTTATATACAGTGTTTAATCAGGGTCAGCTTTAGAATTGGAACTTTTACTTGAGAATGTGCGACAATTCATATGGCCATTTAAATTACAGTTAGAGTGATTGCTGAAATAATATTATCGCATCTTCAGGACTGGAGCAAACATCTGCAGAGCTACATCTGGGAAACAGCCTTCTGGAGAGGCAGTCATAGCTGTGGACATTTCCAGGAGTACAAACACTGGTAGAGTGCTGTCCTTTTCACTGCACTGTCTTTTTGGCTGGAAGTTCTCCCAGTGTGTGACAGGGTGTTCAGGACCATGTATAGGTAAGGATGTGATGCCGTCCATAAGGTCCTGCAGAGAGAGCCTCGCGGTGATGGCCATAGGCCTTTACTTCTGTGAGAAGTAAACTTTTACAGATTTATTGATCAGAATATCATTTACGTTGGGCTGGTCATTGCATATTTATTACTTTTTAAAAGATTTATTAATATTCATTTGAAAGTCAAAGTTACCATCAGAGAAAGAGAGAGAGAGAGCCAGAGAGGGAGAGAGAGAGAACGAATCTTCCATCTACTGGTTCACCACCCCATAATTTGGCACAACAGCTGGAGCTTCTTCTGCATCTTCCCTATAGGTGCAGAGACCTGAGCACTTGGCCCATCTTCCCCTGCTTTTCCAGGCGCATTAACAAGGAGCTGGATCAGCAGTGGAGCGATAGGATTTTGATCCAGCATCCATATACATGGGATGCTGGTGACTTTTATCCACTACTGCACAGTGCCAGCACTGCCTGGTTATTATAATTATTATTGTTTGTTCTCTTTTATATTGTAAAAGAAATTAAAATTTTTCATTGGTCTATACTTTATCTAAGGTCATTTCTACTGTGCTTATTTTTTCCATCCCTGTCACTAGCAAGCATTTACCTATTCTCTTTGGCCCTGAGGAACTCTGTTTTTCTCCAGATCTTCTCAAACATGGACTCAAGAGGACCACACTGAACCCTACCTATGCAAAAGTCACCACTGCACACAAAGGTGATTCTGGTCTTTACATTTTGTCCAGTCTGCATAAAAGAGGAAAAAGACATGTTTGTGGCATCTAAGTAAGACACACAACGGGGCTAGGAGTCAGCCTTGACCCAGTCCAGGTTATTTAACTCTTTCGTATTACCTGAGGCTTAGAATACTTTTCAGATTCATCTTTGAATATAAGTGAATACATGCTGAATACCTCACTAGGTCACCTCGCACATGGTGCATATTCAATAATTGGCTCCTGTTAGAACAGTTTGGGTATATGTATGCATATAATATACACACAATTACTTTTAACATGCAACATTTAGAAGTGCTTCAATGTTAAACTCTAGGCATAAAATGGATTCTCTGACACGGTCCACTGAAGAATGCTTATTCTCACTGATACTTTAGCTTCTATATTTAAAAAAATGATGTGCTGTGACACTTAAATTATTTTAATAACATGATATAAAGTTGTTATACTAGCTCTATGGACATTCTGAGAGTAAACAAGAAGATATAAATGAGAGAAGAGAGGGGGATGGAAAGGGAGATGAGGATAAGGAAAGAAGGAAAGGAAAAGGAAGGGAGGAAGGAAAAAAGGAAGGAAGGAAAGAGACAAGTGGAGGAAGAGAAGTATCATAAAATCGTATCTATGAACCACATGAAAATTTGTCTCTACATTAGTAGAAAATTTAAAAATATATATTCTGAAAAGCATGGTTGAGTCAATATGTATGTAAAATTTTTAAGGCAGATTTAAATAGAAGAAAAGAGGGAGGGAGGGAGAAAGAGAGAGAGAGTTCTTCAATCTACTGGTGCCCCTTTCATAATTTGCCTGAACAGCCAAAGCTGAGCCAGTTTGAAGCCAGCAGCCAGAAGCTTCTTCTTGGTATGCCATGTGGGTGCAAGAGCACAAGGTTTTGAGCCATGCTTTGCCACTTTCCCAGGCCATAGAGGGAGCTGGATCGGAAAAGGAGCAGTTGGTACCCAGACTGGCATCAATATGGGATGCTAGTGCCACAGTGAAAGGATTAGTTTATTACATCACCATGCAGGCCTCATAGGTGGAATTTTAAATGTTGTATATGTTACCAACGGTCCTTTGTTAATATTAATAGCTTAACCATAATTAAAAGTCCTATATTAAACATTTTAGATTGTAGAGGACTATGTACGTTCCAACTTTTTTGGTAAAACTCTAAGTGGGTATAGCATCCTCCACACTTAGTAACATTCCTTAAAATTTAAAACATGTTTCACCAGAATTATGGTAGTATGAATTTACCCATAGATGTTGTCTCACCCATCATACCTGGTCAGGTAAGATTATTCTTTGCATATTTCTGATGGACAAAAAGGCTGCTTTAGAATCATGAAACTGTTGCTATGGGAATATCACTAGAAATATATTTCAGTGACACAATAAAGACTCAAGATTATGACTGTCTTTGGTAAGTGTACATATGCAGCACATACATATGAATATATTTGCAAAAGCAAGCCAAAAATGAAATTAAAAGATAAGTTTATTTTGGTGCAAAAAATTTTGAATCCCATTTTCCATAATATACATTTTGCATGAACTTTCTGAAGAGCCCTCATAGGTATGGATTTCAAAAGTTTCTCGCATCAGAACAAACCTGTTTTCATTTCATTTTTTCACAAGCACTTTGAAGAACTCTCACTCTTGTAAGTGTAAAAATGAGAAATTGTTCTTTTGCAACTCTTTTGTTTATAAAAAAAATGTCACCAAAATATTCAAGAAAGCAAAAGCATTGTGTCTAGGGAGTTGAACTCATAGTCTCAAATTTCTTGTTGTGTTTCAGATTGTACCCATGTGCTTGTAAAATGACTGTTTTTGGAAGGTAATTCCTAACTTATTTCCAAGCCTGGTTTTTGTATCTTCTATTTTTCTGTTTTTCTCTATCTTTTCCATAGGCACGGAAATGTAACAGGCAACTATTCAGTTTAGCAAAGATGTAAAATGAATGAGAAGTTCTTTAAATGGATTAAATAGTACCATTTAAACACTGAAGGTTAACTGCATTGTTGTTGGATGTGGTTATTTGTATATTAGTTATATTAATTATTTCCCATATGACTATTGTAATTTTCAAATACATTTATTCTTTTCTTCATGCTCTTTAATGAATTAGGGATAAAACATGCCTTGGTTTAAAAAGGATCAGAAAAGTATATTAGGACATCTAAATCTTGGCAAGGTAGCTAAGGAGCTCATTTAAAACATTTTTATGTTATGCACATAATTTGAAATTATGTAGAAGATGAACATTCAAAACTTGCAAGTTTTATGTGATGGATAAGAGTATCTGCAATATTTCTGCATTGCTTGGTTTTCTGCATACTCAGCTGATGTTTTCTTACATTATTTTGTTTTTATATCTCAGTACTTTCTGTTGTATTTTGTGTAATCCTGTCTTTCATAACATAATTTGAAAATGGAGTGCTTTTTGTTTCAAAGGAAGCAGTAACAATTGCTTTTGTTATACTAGGTGCCAAGATGCTAGCCATGATCTGAAATTAGACAAGACTGCCAATAGGCAAACGAGGTAGACACATGTATGCTTGAGGAGTCTTGCTGAGGTTAATGGGATTTCCATCTAACCGAATGTCCTCCAGGGCCTTACGGATATAAGTCAAATTTTTAACATTGCAGAAAGTATCTTCATGCATCTCCAGAATGTTGTTATTCTAAAAAAGAAGAACATATGTTAATAATACAAGGTGTAACATATCTATTTTTTATTGACATCATAGGGCATTCTCTAGTTCCTTCTCTAAATCTTATGTGATTTTTTTATATGCCAAGTATTTTCTAGGCAATTCAATGAACCATTCAACAAAAGAGACATAAGATTGCCCTAATAATGCTTATTACTTAAGGGAAATCTCAGAGGGGGCAAAACAGATTTAAAGAAAAAAAAAGTCATTTATTTCCAGCAGATAAGTACTATCCAGAAAAGAAGACAACTGCGGAAAGATACATGAAGCAATAGAAATTTTTACTGAGAATGGAATAAGGAATGCGATGCATGGGAAGAGCCATGGGGATAAGGTACTAAGTAAAGAGAACATTAAGTTTTAAGTCCTGAGGAATTAGCATGTGATATACATATCCTGACTTCCTCCTAATTACTAACTTGGAGTTTTAGGCACATCTTACTGGCAGAAGCCTACCTGGAGGTGAAGGGCTCGAAGGCTTTCTGGGAGTGGCAGAGGGATGTGGTCTAAGTTGTTATCAGTAAGGTAGAGATGATGGAGATCGTACATATCCTGTGAACATACCACATGCAACGATTTAATACCCATTAGTAATGAATGATTATATTGTCAATTCTTCTGCTTGCAAATGTTTTCAAAATAAGATGGTCCAGGTCTTGCTTTATGCAGTTGAAGCATATTGGTTTTCCATTTTACTAGAGAGCACAAATAAGTTATGGAAAAATTGACCATTAGCAAATATGTTTTCATTAGATATATTCTCCAATCTCTAGGAAGATTCTTGTTTGGTCTCATTTTCTCAAATTTGAAAAAAGCCACTATTCATGATAGACATCCTGTGGTGGTTGCTTGAAGGATTTTGACAAGACATAGCCCAAATTTTCTCTTTTAGAAGTGTTGGAAAATGAGAATTCCTCCCCAGCAAAAGCCCATGAATCCAGAAAAGTGGCCATGAGCAAGGCAGAAAACATTGAAATTACTAGTGACCTATTCCAGTGAAACTGTCCAGAGTAGATTGTGACTCAGTACTGCCTGTGGCAGCAGAGGCTGAGCGGGGAAAATGAGTTGCCCAGCTACAAGGAGGCACCCAACTCCTTTGTTCTCCACTGGTGATCTCACAGGAGGCCTAGAGGAGAGGGCAGGCTTTTACAATCATTGAAAGTTAACAAGAACAAGACCGTACCAGCTCTGTGACCTCCCTGAGAAGAATGCTGTGTCTCGCCAAGACTCATTTAAAACGATGTGTCCTGGAACCTTTTGACGATCAGCTTGAATGGAGTGACAGTGGATGAGATTTGATTCTTACTGTTCTCAGACTCTTCTGCTACTGTTTGGAGCCCTAAGCTGGCTCTTCACTTAGAAAATAAAATTGCTCAGTTAACTCAACCTCTTTGCAGCGTTGTTTAGAAGCCTCCTGTATAACTCTAGCTTTCAAATAAATCTTTCCAAAAATTAAATCCTCTTCTAGAAATAAGAAATAATCATCATTGACAGCAAGTGGAGAGGAAGGTGACAAGTTGCTTTCTCACACTTAAAACTTACTTTAAATGCTTCTTGCTTTATTCCTTTCCTTCCAAGCCTGTTGTTGCTAATATCAATAAATGTCAAAGTTGTTGGCAATTCTGGAAGCTGCCTTATTTTGTTGTCACGCAGGACAAGCTCTCGAAGTTGAGGCAGCTTTCGAAATGCATCTTCATCAATCTCTGATATTAAATTTGATGTCAGATCAATCCTTTTCAAATCATCTAGAAGAAAAAAGTATTTAGTCTTGAATATGTTTTACTCAAACAAACTGAATGTAAATTTTCTCACATGTAGCAAATATAAAGATGAATATAATTAACAATGCCTAGTTTCTTATTTTATAAATTTTATTTTCCTTAAATACTATTCATGTTTATGCCTTCATAAAAATGTAACTTCAGCAAAGATACTGGCATGTTATATTTAAAATATAGTCTTAGTATTCTTCATAAACTTTGGACTTCACTGTTTAAAATATTCTCCCAAGGGCAAAGGGCTCAGCACAGCAATTTATACATTGGTTGGGATCCCATACTCCAGGGCCTGGGTGTGCCACAATTCTTGCAGTTCCAAATTCTTGCTAGTGTCATCCTGGAAGGATGCAGATGCGTGTTCCAGTAGTAGAGTCCCTGACACCCAAGTGGATTCTAGACCAAGTTCCAATCCTGAATCTGGCGAGATCAAGCCTTAATTGTTGTGAATGTTATGAACGTGTGAAATAATGTGTGGTTAGTCTCACGCTGTTTCTCTCCCTTTCAAATAAAATGAAAATATGTAAATAATTTTTTTTTCTAGTGAAACTTTTTCCTAGGTATTGGGATACTGATATTTTCTAACACTCAAATACATGAGCAATCAGAACAAAATCTCTAAGAAAATCTTATGATGACCACTGGCAAAAATTCTAAATTCACAGCAAGTATAAAGTGAGGATTTATATTTTCACTGATGAAAGAACTATCTTCCATTGAAGCTTGTTAGAAAAAGCCAAACACTTATAAATGTGTGACATGGCACCTAGTTTTAATTTTGTAACATGAAAGTTCTAAATATGGCTATTTATGATGTATATATTCACTTGAAAGTATCGGCAACAATTTCGTAATGATCATCGGTTGTTTTAACCATCACTTTTAAACTCTGAAATATTTAAGTAAAAATAATTGTTTGATGAGCCATATTTTCGCTTTTAACTTGCACTCTTAGCATTGCCACTCTATGGTAAAAGTATTTAGTGATGTCCATTAAAACCAGAAAGGCATTAGCGTTGTCATTCATACTTAGGCTTGCAAAGTCATTTTTGTTGATCTTTTTAATTCTGTTAAAGCGAGAGTAGAAATAAGCAGTGTTCTTGGGCAGTGGAGGAATAGCATCAAGTTCATGATCATCACAGTATACAGTTGTACTTATACAGGTACACAGAAGGCACGTTGGAAAGTCTAAAAAACAGAAGTAAAAAATCAAATGTAAATAGCAAATAGTTTATAAGACATGCTGTCATTATAAATGCTTGGCGAAGAAGACTAGAGTCTCACACATATTATCCCAGGAAATTTTACATTTTTTCATAGATTTCTGTACCTGGAACAATAAAGTCAAATATATCAATTGAAGCTTTCCCTTTAACGTTTAAGAAGTAAGTTTAAATTATTGCATGTATATAACATGGCTATTACTTTTATGCTTATTAGAAGTTCTATTTTCAAGAAATAAATATTTATGATGTGATGGATAAAAGTGTCGCCTGCAATGCTGGCATCCCACTTTCATGCAGGTCCAAGTCATGGCTGCTCTAGTCCCAACCTAGTTCTCTGCTAATGTGCCAGGGAAAGCAATAGAGAATAGCCCACGTCCTTGAGTCCCTGCCCACGTGGTAGACATGGATGGAGTGCCCTGTTCCTGGCTTTGATTTTGCCCAGCCCTGGCTGTTACTGCCTTTAGGAATTGAGCCAGCATACAGAAGAGCACTATCTCTCTATCTTGCTGTTTCTCTAACACTGCTTTTAAAATAATTGGGGGAAAATCATAAAATAATAAATAGAAGTTCACATATAATACTTCCACCAGCTCTTTGGTTCAGTGTTTAATTGTGGTATTAAAATCCAATTTTCATTGGGCCCAGTGTGATAGCCTAGTGAATAAATCATCGCCTTGCAGCTACTGGGAACCCATGTGGGCAGTGGTTCGTATCCTGGCTTCTCCACTTCCCATCCTGCTTTCTATTTGTGGCCTTGGAAAGCAGTAGAGGATGATCCAAGGCATTGGGACACTGTACCTCCAAGGAGACCTGGAAGCAGCTCATGGGTCTTGGCTCAGGATTGGCTCCTTTGCAGCCACTTGGGAAGTGAAGCAGGGAACAGAAGATCTTTCTCTATCTCTTTCCCTGTGTACATCTACTTTTCCAATAAACAAAAATCTAATTGCTTCAAGAAGAATGGTAATATAGTTAATATTCATTCACTCAATACTTGTTACTAAACCCTTACTATGTAGATGACATTATACTAGCTGGTGGAACCGCATAGAGGACAAAGCAATCAAATTCTACTTTATAATATAGTGTATGAGATGAACATCAATCTTGGAACTGAACAAAATTATGACTGTGATGAATGTCATATGCATATAGCATGGGAGAGATTGACCCTGTCTGGGAGTAACGGGAGTGGTCTCTTACAGAGGTGATGACAGAGCTGCAATCTGCAGTAAGAGAATGAGTTGAATATGCAGCGAGCAAGGAAGCAGTATTACAGGTGAAGGAAAAATATGTGCCAAGTCCCTGCACGGTGAAGGGAACGAGTGAAGAACCACATGCCTGACTCAGAGAGTGTTGGAATGCTTGGGCTGTAGCAGACAAGGACTGTGTAGCCTGGGCTGCAGGTTTGATTCCTTATCCTAATGGTGGGTGTAGCATTGCATGATCCAGTTTGCTGAGACATCACTGAGCTTGCTGGTTTTGTACAGGATGAAGGAGGATAAGTGGCCAGAGTGGAGATGAGTACTAATCTACCTAGAGGAAAGAAGATGGTGCCTTGGCTAGGGTGAAAGTGGTGGGGAGGATGATAGATCCAGAGATGTTTGTGAGTCTGGGTTCTCTCCTAACAGATTGCTCGCTCTCTCTCTCTCCCTCTCTCTCTCTCTCTCTTTCTCTTACACACACACACACACACGTCCTTTCTTCACTCTTTTTCATGGTTGTGTAGAGATTAATGACTGGATAGAAAGGAGGAAAGTATTGCAGAGGCCAAGAGGAAAGAATTTTAAGTGGAAGTAAATAATGAACAGCCTAAGGTATGTTAATGACTGAAATCATTCTGCTGAGTGATTACAGTACGGTGGTGATCAGTGAATCCAGAAGAATTGTGTACTGGTGGCATCTAAAAGCCAGATTCAAGCTAACTACCTAGGAAGTCGGAGGTAAGGCAAATAGAGACAGTGCCCCTGGGTTGTCTGAGAAGAGCAGGGGAATATAAGAAGCCCTATTGGTGTATTCTGTAATGGGGAGTGGGCATTGAAGCGGGAGACATTAGAATGAAGGCTCCAGGGGAGAAGAGATTGAATATTAAAGAGATCCGAAGAGGGGATCTGGAGGTAGGAGTCAGAGCTCAGTGGCAAGGGTTCCCATGCCGCATGCGGGAGAGCAGCCAGCTTTCTGCTGTATTGGAGGAGAGACAGTTAGGGTACATGCATGCAGAAGTAGGTGGATGCTCTGTGGAACCACTCATCAAGGATCTGAGACTGAAAGGTTGCATTTCCTCTGTGGAAGAGGGGGCTAGGCCATCTCACGAGCTCGTGACTTGCAGGGAGAAGAAAAAGGTTATGAGATGTCAGGTAAATGCAGAAAGTAAAGAGTGGTAGAAAAAAATGCACTTCTCAATGATTAATTCATGTCTGTTTACCTGAGACGTTCCTGGTTTGCACATCGAAAATCACAGTCAAAACGGAACATTTGATCACCATAATTAGAAGGCCAATTTGTAGTTTGTGATCAAGAACCAATAGTTCACCTACTAAGTTATATATTGTTATCATTATAATAATCATTTCAGGACTGAAAGTTAATAATTAAAATCCAGGAATTGTATTAAAAGTAGGTACTGTAAAATATTTAATAGTTATTTCTGTAATCATTATAAATTAATATTTTCTACTTGTCTTTAAAATTTAAAATGTAGGAGCTAACATATTAAACGCTTGTGAAATTTATGGCCTTGCTCATTTAGTGGTAATTACTTAGATAATCTATATTTATACATATATAATTTATATTTCTATATATATATATATTCATGCTGGTTATAATTCAATTCTAGTTTTTCCACTCAAAGTTTGTGCCTACATTCTCTGCCTTTAAAATATTATTTCTAGATATTTATATTAATAGTTAAAGTATAACATTTTAATTTTTAATCTTCTTACTATTTTCAAATTATTTAACTTCCATAAATTTATGCTGCTTTTCTGGAAACCAATACGTAAAGCTTCGTATTTGTATTTGACTTCAACACAGAAACAAAAAGTTCTGAATTGTATTGAGCCACGCTTAAACACAACTTTGAACACGAGTGGGTATGGTGTATCTATCTATGTTGTTTCTGGCTCACCTGAGAGACTCCAAATGCAGTTATGGGTGCCAAATTATTCAAAGGAATCATTAATTATTATTATTAAAATTATTAAAAGTCCTAAGGATATTAAGTTCCTAAATTTTAGGTGCTTTCTACTGGGCATTTGTATTCCCTCTTATTATGTGTGTGACATTCTGACCATCCTTGTAGAGTGCACCGCTTTCAGAGGATTAACCTTGTAGGAAGACTGGGCTGCACTGTTTATGACAGTGGCTTTGGACTTGGTGGTCTGTGCTGCATTCGGGCCAGCTCCTACCGCCTACATGACCTCAGACACACGCATGCTGAGTTGCGTTTTTGTCTTCATATTCACCCAACGGCGAAAACAGTGCCTGCTATACAGTGTTGTTGTGACTCTCCAAGGAATGAATGCACATCAAATATTTTAAGTGGCTAACATAAAACACTTGATAAAGGGATTTTTTTAATGTTACCTTTGGTGAAAAGTTAAATACTCATAAAAGTAAAGAGTAGATTTCAGCTGCCAGGGACTGGGGGAAAATAGGAAGAAATGAGTTTTAAATAGCTGTAAAAGTTCAGTTGCAGGACTCTTAGCTACATGCTGTTGTTGAAAAAATCTCGAGGAGGGTTTACAAAATGGATACACTCCTCCAAACATTCCTCATATTTACTATGGACCAAGCATTATCTTCATTTAATCTTGAATATAACCCTATAAGAAAAGTTTTATTACTTACTATCTCATGCTTTAGTTAAGAAAATTGGTGCACAGATAATACTGATACCTTGCTCAATACTGATACATCCAGCAATTCTCAGAGCTGGTGTCTGACTGCATGTGGTTTGGTCCAAGTCTCAGTTTGACCCCTTTGTTGTTAGTCCTGCTTACACCACGTTGCTCTTGCCTTGTCTCCCACTAGGTTCTGTGCAGACAGACATTTTCACTAGTTCTTATAGGATATCATTGTCTCTGTCCATTTGCTTGCACTGGGCAGAAAGATCTGAGCGAACAGTGAGCATTTCAAAATTAGTTTCCTACCAGCAGAACTTGGAAATCAGAAAGGCCTAATTCTACCTCAGTCTTTGCGCTGGGAACCTGCAAATGGTTTGTGCATTCTCACTGTGTTGATGCTTCTGTTTAAAACTCTCTCTAGGATGAATTCTCTTGACAGATTCTAACAAGAAGTATGTGGAATCGCATAGTACCAGGAATTGTGTGTTCTTAACTGAAATGCCCTCAGACAGACCATGTTCAGACTGTACAAGATGTTTTCTGATAGGACTGAGAGAGGAGAAGTTGATTTCTCGTTAGATACACAGACAAGAATCCAGTGCTGGCTTCAAACTGAATGTACGGCAATTACTGTCAGCCTGGAGTTAGTGTCCTTGGTGACAATGAAAAAAGTGGTAGTGAAACCTTCACAGAAAACGTGTAATATTCCAGTAAAACACTGAGAAGTGCTGAGCATTGTGACCCGCAAGCAGCTCTACTCAGTGCGACATCAGCATTGTCACTGTCATCCATTCCCACTGCGTCAGTGAGGACTCCTATGGTCCCATATCACAGACGAAGATTTCAGCTAGCTTATTGACGTCCCTTTGTTTTAGAACTGCGTTCCACCACAAAACTATTAAGACAAATATTTCCATCCCAAATCTTTGGTTATTGGGTCATTTTCAATAGGCCAGCATGGCTAAGATTGCTTATGTTTTAACACAAAATATTCAGTGTGATCCCCAAGTGAATCCTAGCCTCTTCAACATTTCTTCCTTGGTCACCCAGGTTCCCTGTGGAGCTGGCATTTGGTAGCTTGGATAGATGACAAAGTGGACTCAACCATTCTGCCACTGTGATGTGCCCGACCTTCATTGGTGTGGGGGCCCAGAACCCCGGTGTATTCAGGCTCCTGTGGGGAGGACCCATCAATCAGCCTCGGCGTGGACTCTTCTTCCTCCTCCTCTTGAACCTCTTCTGGCTGTGGGGGCGGAGTGAGGAGCTCGCTGTTTCCTGAAGGCATAGCTGTCACTATTTCAATCTGAAAATAGGGAAAACGAAACAAAGGGAAAAGCAGCATTTTATCAGTCAACCTTCTCTATCCCCCTCTGACATCTGTGCAACTTCCTGAAAATGGAAAATGTTTCCATCTTTGTCACTAGAGGGCACTCGGGTTCTGAAATTCAGCAATGTGTGGTTGCCCAGAAGAACACAGAAATCTAAAAATTGCTATTATTTTTAATTAATTTTATTTCCCAAGTCTTAGAATTTGCTTCCTGTGTGTTTTGAGGGTCTTCTTTTTCTTTTAATGTCTTGCATGTCTGTCCATTTCTTAGTTTTTTTTTTTTAATATCACTGTTTCCTAGTAACATGTGGAATTATAAAAATAGATTATTGCTGTGGAAGACTCAGTCCAGAAATAAGCTGAGTAAAAACCAGGATCCTCCTGATCCTCTACCCCTAATTTACTCCTCTTTCAGATAATAATGGAATGGAAACCAATGTATATTTTTCTGTTCTTTTATAGAGGTGACACATCCTTGATGGAGTTCTACTAAAAAGAATCCAAACTAAAACAAAATAGGATAGTGGCATCAAAGCTACATTATTTGATTATGATATGCAATTTCTCATAGATGTTTCATGTTATTACAATAACAAGTATATAAATAACATTTGGACATGTCAGCATTGACCTTTCAGAGAGATTGTCAGTAGGAGGCATTTATAAAAATATTCAGTTATTTATCAAAGATTATACTTGCTTTTTTTACTTGTGTATTTTAAGTCATGATTTGTTTTAAAAGATTTTGTTTGCATTTAAAATAAGCCTTCATTTTGAGCAGCTTTTGCTTGTCACAGTCTATTGGTTTTGATTACTTAGTAAATGTTCATGTCATGTCTTGTAAGCTTGGCCTAGAAATCTGCTCAAAATAATTGAAATGATACCCCACGTGTCTTGGTCAGTGTTTTCATCCCTCTGCTTTTGGCCACGTCAAGATGCTTTAGAGAATTCACAGATAAAAAGCAAAATTAAGGTATGTTTAGGTTGGTGTGAAACATACCTTGAAGCCATGCCAGTTTTTCATAATATACATTTTCATCAACCTTTTGAAAACCAAATATATCCGCATATGTCCTCTGCTCCTGCCCACTTTGTTTTTCAATATTTGTTCCCATGAGAAGGCAAGGAAACATAGAAATTTGCTTTTGAAATTACTTAATGATAAATTGCACAAACTATTCTTTTTTCTATAAGATAGATGTGTAATTAAAACAATGTTTTGGCATGTTGTAGATAAGTAGAAAGTTTTACAGATATGCCTATTACCGAATGTCCTTCTAAATGATTGAATACACTTTTTTTTATAAATGAAAATTATCCTTTCAAAGAAGCCCTAAACTTTCTTTTGTAAATTTACATTTCTTTTTAAAAAGTTTCAAATTTTCTTTTCAATATTGCCTACACAGTTTAGAGGGATGCATGTCCGTGTAGGCCCCCAACTGTGGTAGGGAGGGTCAGGAATGGGTGGGACAAATGTTTCAACTTTCTTTTTTCTTTTTCTCTTGTTTTCACAGGGCAGTTGAGGGAGATGGTTATTCCTTTCTGTCAAACTACATCAAACAATTTACATTTCTTAATTATACCTCCTTTGCTGTTTCTGTACTTGATTTTGTATAATATTGGTACCACTGGTCTTTTGTGTACTCAAGCCTATAAAATGGTAAATTGAGTCATGTCTTTTCTTTTTGTATCTTTTCAGAATTATATACATATATATGTATATATATATATTATTTGAAGGGAAGATTTACAGATATGAGGAGAGAGCACGAGAGAGAGAGAGAGAGACCTTTCATTTACTGGTTCTCTTCTGAAATGGCCACAATGATCTGAGATGAGCCAGTTCAAAGGCAGGAACGTAGAGCTTCCTCTGGCTATCCCACATGGTACAGGGACCCAAGGATTTCAGTTGTCCTCTGCTGATTTCTCAAGGCATAAGCACGGAGCTGGATGGGAAGTGGAGTAGCTGTAATACAATCCCTCAACCATATGAGATGCCGGTGCTGAAGGTGGATGCTCAGCTTACTATGCCATGGCACCTGTCCTAAAAGCTACAGCACAGATAGGTGATCAATGAGTAATTAAACAGAATATTAAAAAAATATATATTTGAGGGGTCCGGCGCGATGGTGCAATGGTTAAGGTCCTCGCCTTGCACGCCCGGGATCCCATATGGGCGCCGGCTCTAATCCCAGCAGCTCCACTTCCCATCCAGCTCCCTGCCTGTGGCCCGGGAAGGCAGTCGAGGATGGCCCAAAGCTTTGAGACCCTGCACCCACGCAGGAGACCCGGAAGAGGCTCCTGGCTTTGGATTGGCATAGCATTGGTTGTTGCGCTCACTTGGAAATGTGCCTTCCCTCATCGGAGGGAAGATCTTCCTCTCTGTCTCTCCTCTCTGTATCTGCCTTTCCAATAAAAATAAAATAAATCTTTAAAAAAAAAGTTTGATTACAATTCACCTCTCTTTGCTTTAGCTATCTTGTTGAAAAGCTTCAAAGGATGTGCCAATGCTAACTTTAAAGTATTTAAAGCATGAAATCAGATTATGCTGCATTTGATAGTTTAGGATCCATACACGAAGGCAGTTTAAAGTGTGGCCAGAAATCTCCAGCTGAGATGACTGTGTGCATTTCTTTTAAGAGGCACATGTGGTTTCCATCAGTAGAGTGAGAGTTAAGACAGATTCAGAAGGGATGGATTTGCACAGAGACTAAAAGGAGGCTCCAGCAAGGGCGGAAATTAAGACAGATGTTTCAGGAATGGTGCAGCCTAAAGGGAGAAACACATTCCAGATCCATTGCCTTGAGTCTTTAACTTTGCAGGAAAATGTTTGCACATACTTTTGTATGGATAATTGTTTTTCCACTGATTTGATGTGAAGCTTAAGATCTCATTTGTCATCCAATATAATGAGGCAAAACAGCTTTTGTGTTTATCAGAGACTGGTTTGTTCAAGCTGGTGAATAAGATGAGAATGCACAACTCTTAAAAACAAAGGAAAAGAAATCCCTTTCATTTGGGCAAAACTGTAAAACTGTCTCAAAGAACTGTTTGAGGAGAATCTTTTGTGTTGTAGATACATTTTAACTTACTCTTAAGTAGAAACAATTTGGCTCTTCGCCCATCCTTTAAGGATTTTCCTTCTACAAAATGAAGATGTGTGGCAGAATTTTATGCTTTTGCAACAGAAACGTTAATTTGAATATAAATGCAAATGGACAGAAAACATCTTTCCTCCTTTTACTGAGTTGGTGACACTCAATTCTTCAAATTTCCCTTTTGCCTTTGTCTCGTTATTTTACTTTGGCTTGTGTCCTATTGAAATGCCCTTAAATTTATTTACGCTATTGTTCGAGAGTATAACAACATTATCACATGCAACTTTGATCTTATCTCTATACGGGTAGACTTTTGCTGGGTCCCGATAGATGACAACTTTCAGTTGACTGATTTGCAGTCAGTTTTCTGTTCCTGTTTGCTTGCTTTACCTGACTTGAGAACCGTAGGAAATATCTGTTGTGGCATACTCTGCGCGGAGGTGCATTCATTTGTTGACTTGTATCAGAGGTGACAAATGCTTAGCCAAAGGAAAGCGCCCTGAACAGGTCAGTTCTCAGGAAAGAGAATTTTCAGGAAAGAAGATTCTCAGGCCTGCTTCACTCTCAGGCACCTGAGCAGCCTTGATTCCATATAAGCAACCAGCACCTCAGAGTAAGAAGTGCTGACATAAACCCACAAGAGTGTCTCAGAAGTTTCTACTGCCTGAAAAAACAGAGATACTCAGTAGCAAAAAAGTCCAGTAACATTTCTTGATTCAAATGGTGCTGAGACTTTCATCAGCAGTACTTGTTTTGTTGTTAGAATATGCTGAGTTTTTTTTTTTTTCAGTTATCCACAGAGTTGATCAAAGTAAAATCTGTGTACTGTTTTTAAAATATTTTATTTTATTTTTATTGAAAAGGCAGATTTTACATAGAGGAGATATAGAGAGAAATCTCTTCCATTCACTGGTCCATTCCCTACGTGGCCACCAAAGCTGGAGCTAAGCCATTCCCAAGCCAGGAACCAGGAACTTCTTCCAGGTCTCCCACATTGGTGCAGGATCTCAAGGCTTTGGGTTATCCTCGACTGCTTTTCCCTGGCCACAAGCAGCGAGATGGATGGGAAGCAGGGCTGCCGGGATTAGAACCGGTGACGCCCTATGGGATCCCCGTGCATGCAAGACAATAACTTCAGTCACTAAGCTATTGTGCCGGGCCTCTCTGTACTATTTTAAGACATGATTACATTTGGCAAGAAATATTTTTATTGAAGCTGGTGTTATTGGTGCAGCAGTTGAGCCATTATTTCTGATTCCAGCTTCTGTAAGTGTGCTGATGGCTCTGCTTCTGACCAAGCTCCTTGTTGATGCGCAGTGGGAGACAATAGGTGGTCCTCTGCCATGTAAGTGGCAAACCAGGATGGGATTCCTGGCTATTGGCTGACTTCAGCCCGGCCCTTGCCTTGCTGTTACAAGCATTTGAGCGTTCAAATGTTGGATGAAAGGTATCTCTATGTGTCTTCTTTTCTCCCTGTCACTGAGCCTTGCAAATTAACAGGCAAATAGATCTTGTAAATTAAATCATTTTGAACAAATTCATTTTTCAAGAGCAAAATGCATGTACGTATGATCCATATGCCATGCTGTCTATAGAGTGAAACCTAATTAACTTACTCATCTTAATTTCCACAAGAAATAGGAAAAAAATAGTGCAGTAGGAAAAGCTGAGCTAGTGGGCTCAGAAATATGAGCAGTCAGGTTTGTTGTTTTTGTGTGTCATTCATTTCAGTAGAGTTGTGTTGTTGAACATGTTGATAACCCTCAAGCAGGTTAGTAATGATCATAAACCATCATGTACATTTCAGCGCTGTTTCCCTAATGCAACGAGATGTGTTTGTTTAATCATTTTGTATGTTTTTAATCTTAATACTTATAC